TGAGGTTGAGGTCACCTCCAAATAGTTTTTACATTTTTTCTCTATGTGTCATCACATCCTGGAAAACTACTGTCCAGAGAAGGAAATCTCTGCGGGCAGAGGCCACTTCTGACATGAGCGGGCCTTCTGTGCATTGCGGGTCTTGTCCCCCTCGTGCATGCCTCTTGCCTGCCCTGTGCCTCAGCCAGGCCTCCCTCCCCCGGTTTCCCTGTGAGGTCTCCCTGTGGAGCCCCCAATGTGGCTGGTCACAGACTTCTTACCTCCAGCTCTTGTGTCCGTCTGTGGTCCCCTCGTGCTGTCACACCTGTGCCCTATGGATGGGCAGGTCTCATGACCAGAGATGTGAGGCCTCATCTTGGTGGCAAGAAGGCTCTGTGCTAGCTGTCAGTCACCACACTGGCTGGATGAGATCGGCCTAACCATGGCCCTGAGCGCAAGGGCTTTCTGGGCTTGATGAAACCTAGGGACATCTGCCAACCACCCACCTGGAGAGCCTCTGAGGCTCAGACCCCAGGATGAGATGCCCGGTTCTCTGCTTTAGATTTGGGTCTCATTCTCCTGGGTGGGCCCTGCCTCAGGAGCTTTTTCAGTCAGGAATGTTTGAGGGACTACAGGGCAGCCCTGAGTAGTCTTACTCCCCACACCTTTAGCCTGAGTCTCAGCACCAGAAGAGGAGTAGCCAGACCAGACAGGGGCATTCTGCTGATGTAGGCCCCAGCTGGGGATGTGGGGCAGGAGGCAGAGCTTGAGCCCCACTGAGACAGCTATGCCCAAGAAAAGCTGTCCAGAGCAGGCATGGTGGCTCACGCCTATAATCCCAGCACTTTGGGAGGCGGAGACCAGAGGATTGCCTGTGCCCAAGGGCTTAAGACCAACCTGGGCAACTTGGCAAGACATCACCTCTACAATAAATTATTTATTTATTTATGTATTTATGTATTTATTTATTTATTTGAGTTGGAGTCTCACTCTGTCGCCCAGACTGGAGTGAAGTGGCCGCTCCCGGCCACTGCAGCCTCGACCTGCTGGGCTCTGACGATCTTTCCACCTCAGTCTTCCAAGTAGCTGGAATTACAGGTACACCCTACCATGCCCAGCTAATTTTTTGATTTTTATTGTAGAGATGAGGCCTCACCAAATTGCCGAGGCGGGTCTCCAACCCATGGGCTCAGGCAATCCACTCACCTCAGCCTCCCAAGGCACGGGATTACAGGCTGAGCCACCGAGCCTAGTTTACAATAAGTTTTTTTTTTTTTTTTTTTGAGTTGGAGTCTCACTGTCGCCCAGACTGGAGTGCAGTGGCCGCTCCCAGCCACCGCAGCTTCGACCTGCTGGGCTCCAGGGATCCTTCCGCCTCAGCCTTCCATTACAATAAATGTAAAAGAAAAAAAATTAGCTGGCCGTGGTGGCATGCACCTCTGGTTCTAGCTACTTGGAAGGTTGAGATGGAAGGATAGCCTGAATCCAGCAGGTTGAGCCTGTGGTAGCTGTGATTGTTCCACTGCACTCCAGCCTGGGCAATAGAGTGAGACTCTGACTAAAAAGAAAGAAAGAAAGAAAGAGAGAGAGAGAGAGAGAGAGAGAAAGAAAGAAAGAAAGAAAGAAAGAAAGAAAGAAAGAAAGAAAGAAAGAAAGAAAGAAAGAAAGAAAGAAAAGCTATCTAGTTACTTGAGGATAATAGGGATGTTACCAGCACAGGTTGTATGTTGGCACCATTGTCTGCTGCAGAGGCCCTGGGTGTGATGCTGACGTGCTGGCAGTTGGGACAAGGCTCTGTTCTCATCCTGGGCTCAATGACATCCGTGGCTGTCTTGGATGGTGTAGCAGGCGTGTGTGCATGTATATGTATGTGTGTACGTGTGTGCATGAGTATGCACGTTTGTACCACAAGGAAAGCAGCATTGGCAGATCTGCATGAGGGATGTTCACCATTGTGTTTGCCAACCTTTCTGTGGGGTGAAATCTTGCAAAATAAGAAATCGGGGGGCCAGGCTCGGTGGCTCAGCCTGTAATCCCAGTGCTTTGGGAGGCTGAGGTGAGTGAATTGCCTGAGCCCACGGGTTCGAGACCCGCCTGGGCAACTTGGTGAGACCTCATCTCTACAATAAATCAAAAAATTAGCTGGGTGTGGTAGCGCACACCTGTAGTTCCAGCTACTTGGAAGGCTGAGGTGGAAGGATCGCCGGAGCCCAGCAGGTCGAGGCTGCGGTGGCTGGGAGTGGCCACTACACTCCAGTCTGGGCGACAGAGTGAGACTCCAACTCAAAAAAAAAAAAAAGAACAAACAAACAAAAAAGAAATCGGGGTAAGAGAAGTGAGTGGGTGCTGTCCCTCTCCTCATTTGCTCCTCCTTCTCATGGTGGAGGATCCAGGAGGCCTCACCCAGGCCAGAGGCCTATAGAGCCAGCTCCTTGCTCTCTCTGGATCTCTGGCCAGCAGGATGTCCCAGAGCCCTCTGGGCCTCCCTCCGTGCACTCAGGGTTGGCTTCCTTCGTGGTTGTCACTGACTGCTTTCTTTCTCCCTCCTGATGTCTCATCCCCCGACCTCTGTTCTTCATCCAAAAACATCTCCGTAAATCCACCTAGGCTGGGAGCAGCACGTAATGACTGTCGATGCCGACAGAACAGCAAATGAGGGCCAGATTGCCGGCAGAGCAGAGTAAACAGGCCGGGTGCGGCTGGGGACAGCCTGAGACCCATGGCCCCACCGCCAGGGGCTCCTCCCTTCCCCCTCCAGCCCCTCTTCTCTTTGGGATGGAAACACTCTTTCCTGGGGAAGGCATGGAGCTGGGCTGATGCGTATTTGAAGTTCTCTGCTCACAGTGTCCCCTGGCTGTGGTGGCAAAGTGACACTTCCTACCAGCCCAGCCACAGACGGCTGTCTGTTCTCAGGGGAGACTCGGGTGGTCTGGCCCCCTCTAGCAGCCGAGTCTTCAGCCTGACTTCCAGGCCAGTGAGGCTGCTCTGAGTCTAGGCATCCTTGTGGGTGGAAGGTAGGAGCGTTTCAGAGGCCCCTCTCCCCTACCATTCTGGGCCCTTGGGACTCCGGGCATTTGGGCTTGTTTGACAGAGACCTCCTGGGCAGGGTGGAGACATTGAGAGGAGGAGTGGGTATTTGGGTGGATCCAGAAGAAAGGATTTTGTCGGAATCGGTAACCCCTGGGCAGTGTGAAGCTGATGCCTGCTGTCCCCTGCGTCTCCCATTCTGGGTGGCCCAGGTATGGCCTGTGGGTCCAGAGGTCATCAGCACAGCCCAGGATATGGACCTGCCAGCAACCCACTGTCCTCATTAGTGACCCCAGGCTGTGCCTGGGAGAGCCCAGGGTAGCACTATGACCCTTGGGATTGGCCTTCTGTCCTCTGCCCATGGCCGTGTCCTGGGACAGGGGTGCCTTCTGGGTGGTCAGGCTAAGCACTGTGTCACCAACAGCACTTTACTTACATGTGGGGATGCAAGGGTTCTTGGGTGGTATGTGTGCCTAGGCTGGCCCCTCTAGGGAAGGTTAGAAACAGGCCTAGAGACCCACGCTAGGATCCCAACCTGCTACTACCTGGCCTGGCCACATGGACACAGCAACTCCTGACTCAGGCGCATCTATGTCCTGGCCTCTCATCCCTTGGGAGCCCAGCATGAGGCCCTCTGGAATGCAGGCGCTGTGGCTGTGGGGGGCAGCCTGGCGCCTGGCATCTTGTTATAAAAAGCTCTGGCACGGACTGCTCTTAGCAGCTGTAGGGTGGTTGTGGCTTTGAAGGGGTAGCCTCTAGGGGCCTTGGTCAGCCACCTGCGGGCCCTACTACCCAGACCTCTGCCAGCCCTTCCTGGCTGCTCTACCACGACTCTACCCTTGGGTAAGAGGGGCTCCTGACTGGAGCCATGTGACAATGTATGATAGAGCCACATGACAAGGTATAACAGAGCCATGTGCTCTGAGGATTGCAGGGACATGTCGTCCATGGACAGTCGAGGTCTCAGGTATGGGAGCAGCCCAGGAGACACCTGGGAAAGGTGTGCATCTAGCAGGCATGGCCTGGCCATCCCCTGGCATGGATGTGTTCGGGTGCTGGTCCTCAAAATGCCATGCAGGATCAACCAGCCTGGGCCTGGGGGGTGTCCCCAGGGCAGAGGGTAGGGACCTGGCTGGTCTGTGTGAGAAGCTGCAGAAGGAATGGGGCAGACAGTTGTTCCCAGAGCCTGCCAAGCTTCCCCAGATGTCAGAGGAGCAAGAGGTGAGGGGCATGGTGGGAGCAGGGCCACCTGCCTTTCCCCAGCGGCTCTCCCTGTTGTGTGTGGGGAAGGATGGACTGGGATAGCCAGGCCTGGTTCTGTGGGGGGTGGGGGTGGGGATCCCCAGCACGGAGGTGTCCCACCCGCATGGCTGCTTGGGCTAAACCTGCTGAAATTATCCACTCGGAGCACTGTGCACAGAGTGCCCTGCCTTGTAATTTTCATTGCTGCTGATGCCAATTAGGAGTGAAGCTGTCCCTTGCTGCGTCCCAGGGTGGGCAGAGTGAGAGCCAGGCTCATTCCCTGGGGGGTGGGAGGGTGGAGTCAGCCTGAAGTGGGGCTGTGGCAAGAGGGCAGTGGGGGCAGCTGGGCAGCCAGGCTGGGGTTTTTGCCGACACTCTAATTTGGCGGCTGTCGCCACCCTGCCCCCTGTAAAGCCCCTGACGTGGCCTGAACTGGACTCCAGGGGCCATGTGCCCTGCTGGGGAGCCAGGGTCTCAGCATCTGGGGTGTGAACTGGCAGGGAAAGGAGGTGGGGACTGCAGCCCTGGACAGGCCCTGCTTGGGGTGGGGTGCCTTGGAGTGCTGTCCCAAACTCCACCCCTAAGACCTGGCCCTGGCCAAGTGCCCATAGGGAGTTGGGGGAGCATGGGGACTCAGCGTGTGAGTCTGCATGCCAGCTCTGGATGGGTGGGGGCACAAGCAGTCTGGAGGAATCCCCACAGAGCTGAGTCTGCCGCATGACACCGGCGTCAACTGAGCCCTCTGTCCCCAGCCCATGGACCGAGACCCTGTGGTGTGCCACCCTGACCTGGAGGAGCTGTTCCAGGCTTGGCCGGCAGAATTGCCCGACGAGTTCTATGAGGTGACAGTGGACGATGTGAGAAGACGCTTGGCCCAGCTCAAGAGTGAGCGGTGGGTGCCCCTCTTTCAGTGTCTCCTGGTTTCTACCCTCCTCAATTTGTCCCCATGTGGGTGCCCCCCATCCTGCCTGCCATCCCCCAAGGTGCAAGGCCACTGCAGGACTGGCTTCTTGCCCAAGTCACAGACAGGCTGCCCTAAGCAACACCTAGTGGAGGGTAGGGGCCCCTTAGGGGCTTCTAGTCCTGTCCTACCTCTGGAAGGAGAGCAGCTCATGGAACCTGGGGGTACAATCCAGAGCCTGTTCCTGGGGCTTCGATTTGGACTGGAGGTGGGGATCTGTTCCTCCAACCGCCTCCCCACCACAGGAAGCGCCTGGAAGAAGCCCCCTTGGTGACCAAGGCCTTCAGGGAAGCTCAGATGAAGGAGAAGCTGGAGCGCTATCCGAAGGTGTGCAAGGGCCTGGGGGAGTCATTTGAGGTGTGGTTCACACGAGGGGACATGGCGGAGCATGCGCAGCCCCAGGGTACTGGTGGTGGGTCACGTGCACATCCCCCGTGGCTAGTAGAGGATGGGGGCCTATATGGTCTCCGTTAATTAGTCGGTTAGGCCTGGCACGGTGGCTCATGTCTGTAATCCCAGCACTTTGGGAGACCGAGGCAGGAGGATTGCTTGAACCCAGAAGCTCAAGACCAGCCTGGGCAACATCATAAGACCTCATCGCCACATACAAATAAAAAACTTAGCAGGGCTTGGTGGTGCATGCATGTAGTCCCAGTTAGTCAGGAGGCTGAGGCAAGAAGGATCATCTGCCTATAATCTCAGCACTTTGGGAGGCCGAGGTGAGGGGATTGCCTGAGCCCAGGGGCTTGAGACCAGCCTGGGCAACTTGGTGAGACCTCATCTCTACAATAAATCAAAACATTAGCTGGGCGTGGT